GCTGGAGACGAGAAGGATAATAGCAGACGAGAGAATAACCATAGAACGACCTCACATCAGCGACTGGAACTTATTTATTCACGGGGTGGAACTCTCTGACGCGGGAAAATACATGTGTCAGATTAACACCGTCCCGGTCAAAATCAAATATGTAGTGCTGTCTGTTCATGGTGAGCAAAAAACAAAATTAGCACCGAAATAGACTCAAATAAAGTTTCTACCCCACCCCTGCGTATAGAAAGAAATCACAGCGATCATTGTGTAGCTTCATTCAGAAGATATAGTTAACATATTAACATATTAAAATATCTACCTAAAAATATTTACACATGTTTCGAATATTTTGGAGGATGGATCAAATTGTTAATTTTGTGAGGGATAGAGCAAAATTTGACTTTTGATCACATAATGACATTTGATGAAAGATTTGTATTTAATGTTCATTGATACTCTGATAAGAGAGATAACTTTTCATTTAAAATATCCCTATATAAATCTACAAATCTAAATATCTTTTTTATTCAAATCTGGACCGCAAACTATTCTAAATTGTTCATATTTTATTTTCAAAATCTTTTGGAAAATGACTAGAGAAGTAAGCAAGCAGAAGATTTATGGGCCTTTAAACATGATTGAGAGGTTTTCATATGCAGTTACACTAAACATAAAACTTTTAAAATATAATCTTTAAATCAGTATTTAAGTAATGTTTCGTTCTTTGTTGTAGAACCTCCCACAATTATACCCGAGCTTTCTAGTCCACATAAAGTTACTGCCAAAGAAGGGGACACAATTCAGCTCGTCTGTAACGTGACTGGTGTTCCTACACCGACAGTCACGTGGTACAGCAGAAACCATGACAACATGAAAGGTATCAACGCGCATTCATTTAAACAATAAAATGCTTTCTTTGTTTGTTTTTACTGGAAAGACATTTCATTGTTTATATTTATATCTGTTTAAATAATCATTTCAAGAAGGATTAAAAAGTTTAATTATTGTATTAATGATGCGAACGTCTTTATACGTTTCATTGATGAAACAGCCACTGATCAAGAAATCTGTACAGGCGACATGCCTAATGTAGTTCATGCAGTGATTAACGCAGTGGGTTTTCTTAAGAAATAAAGGAGAAAATATTCAGTGGATGTAAATATTATGTGATGACGTACGTCTCATTTGAATATTTCGATGTAGAATTAGGTATATTATTACAAAAATTCAGAATCTCTTTCCATTTGTGCTTCATATGTCTCTTTTATTCTTGAATGACATAAAAACGATGTTAAGATTTTTATAGTTAATTTTACAATAAATTTTGATGGTTGTAGTGGTGGGGTATGATGGAATGGTGCTACAGATACGAAACATAAGCCGGTATTGTGATGATTTGTACAAGTGTACTGCAAATAATAGCGTCCAACCACCCGCCAGCAGAAAAATAACAGTAACAGTACAGTGTGGGTATTGCAGATAAGCCAGAATGCTAAAAATGAATCTGAACTATGTTTTAAGAAACTATATTTTTGTATTTAATTATTTTAATGTGGATATTTTTTTAAACAAAGGAAAACGTGTTTTTCTCATTGAATGCCAATATAATTGTTTTTAGTTCCACCAGAGATACATTTGACAAACAGAAAAATTAAGCAACGACTTGGAAAAGAGACAATTTTAGATTGCAAAGTGACAGCAAACCCACAAGTGTACAGTGCTTGGACAAAAGACGGCATTCCTATACAAAACGATGAAAAGTTCAAAATTGACCTTTATGAAGAATATAAAAATACAGTGATACTTAGCTTAAAGATATCAGATATTCAGGAATCCGACTTTGGAGCGTATCGCTGTGAAGCACAGAATGAGCTTGGTCGAGATTACCAAGATACTTTTCTCTATGGTAAGGTTTAGTGCTTAATGTGTCATAGTAGGATCTTGAAAATTAAAAACATCGGTGTTAATATTCCCTTCAGTTTATTTCTCTATTAAATGAGTCCTAATGAGAATTTTATGTTCAGTAGTATATTCTTCTAGATTTTAGAAAGAGAAACTCAATTTTTCATAAGGCATCTAAAATAAATTCTTCAAATTAAAATTGTTAAAACGTGTTGTAAAGAAGAAACAATCACAAACCGTGTGCTTTTTTAGAGCTGAAGCCCCCTACTCCGGCCCCCAGCACGCCAAGAACTACCAGCAGGACTACGACAACCATACATCAGTATGTCTTCACGTGGGCTTCCGGTTTTGTTCCCATGACACCCAGGACGGAATATCAAAGCAGTATGTTATTTCTGTCATATCAAACCACCACTATATGTACATAAAAGTATGAAAATGCATGATTAATAAAGAAGAGTAGAAAATATTATTTTAAGTAATTGCCGATATTTTTTAACAAATCATGTTTCCCCTTTGTTTTATTTGCTTTATTCAAAATAGAGGATCGATTGCGAACACACCCGCTTGCACCAATAAAGAAACCACAAGGTTAGCAGCTAGATCTAGTCTTTCGTTTAATAGTTTTAGAAGAGGAGCTTTATTTTGTTTGGTATATAGAATCACTGTTTAGTGTACTAATTTATGTATTTCTTCCTACTGTCATCCATTCACTTTGAAGATAGAAAATATAAAAATATGTTAAAGACAATTCAGTGTGCACTTTGAAAATTAATCCCCCAGTTGATTCGAAACTCATTAAATATGAACAATTTCTAAACCGAGACAGGTTATTGTTAAATTAGTTGATGAACAATTTATGCACATATCTAATCTTTATATGTTTATGCCGATCCTGTGAGTATGAATTGAAAAAAGACTGAGTTTACGAGTCTTCAGTTTCGAAAACTTTTTTCCTAACTTACATATACACAAAGTCAGGACGATACATTTTTTAGTTAGTAATAGTTTTTCCAGTGTTCCGTTTTGATATTTTTCTTCTTTTTCCTTTTTTATTTGCATGAAAAAGATGTATCATACAAATCTCTATTGATAATCGTAACTTCATTTACAGTACATTTGAGTCAAAAGCTGAATGAGATTCTTCTGCTCGGAATTCGTCCGTTTTCGTCAGTTCTCCCAATCGCTCTCTTCTCTTTGAACGACTGGGATATTGTTGGCACAAAGAACTATCATAGCTTGGGAAAGGGGATTCAAATCAAAACTCATATCACTTTTCAAGGAGAGTTTACTAATAAATAGTCTTATAGTATGGAACTTTTTTCAAGAACCATTAGACCAGAAAAGATGGAACTTACTGTGAAAGAACCCTGAGATTGCATAATGTAGTGTAGTTTTACTTTTGTTCAAATCATTATCCTCTGAGTTAGGGTTTGACCACAACAGGGGATAAAAGTTTTACACATTATTGGTATGATGAGATATTATGAATTATGTGCAGTATTGATATGCAAACATATGCCATGTGGTTCAGATTTTTTGAACTATGGATAATTGGATTGGGTTGCAACTTGAATAAGAGATGACATTTTACATTATATTTGTGAATATAGTGAAAAATCTTTTTAGCAAGGCCACATATGTCAAATTCAGAATTCCATGTGGATTCATGTTTAATTAATTCATATCTCATTTGAGATGAAGTGGATTCACATTATGGGGTCGAAATTCGTCATCAGAAAAAAGAGTAAAAGGCTTTTTAAAACAGTATTTGAAGAACATCTGGGCAAGGTGATTCATGTTTGCGTTGTAGCTCTTGGGTCTTGTTATTTTCACGTGAAATTTCGAATTGACTGTGGGAGAGGGCCTGCAATTTTTATCTCCATGTCCATATACTAGTAACATATATACCGACATTTGTGAAAATGTTGTTGATACTTGTTTTAAAATTGTATTGTCAATTTAGATATCCATTTCCACATTACAGTTCGTCTGGTCAAAGTAAAAATTTTCATGTTTGAAGGATTGACATCTTCTATATTTTCAGAATAACGAACAAAATAATTTTCACTAAAGTTGATAAATATATATATATAATGTTTTGAATAAAGAAATTAATTAGTATACTAGTATTATGGAGAAAAATTATTTATCAGTGCAAACAGATTTTAAACAGAATTCTAATTACAGGTACCAATGGGCAACAAGGATGCATTTCACCTATGCGGAATAATCTTCATGTGGTCGGATTACTTACGACTGTGTATTTGTTGATAAGGTGAACACGTCTACCTGTTGACAACAATTGATTCTGACTAAAATTGACAGCTCAAAGAATAAAAGGTCCAAAAAGTCAACTTCTGGTCTCCAAGAACTAAAAGAATAATGACCCTTGAGATGTGAATTTTGGAAAGGAATTAACAACCAGAATCAAAGAGTCTGTGATTCGTAACTTTAATTTTTTCATTACTAAGAAATCAGACTATGATATGCAGTGTGGCGTTTGATGTTTTTTTGATTGTTGAGTATGTCTAGAGAAAATGTCATGGGATATGCTTGCATAATGAAAAACTCTGTGTGGTATATTTTTATCAGAAGAGATTACCAAGATATTCTTACCATGTGCAATGTGAATGTTCACACATAAGATGCAAAAAAGATTCTTTTTAATATTTATATCAAATTGACATAACTACAGTACATATATCTATTACTAATTAAAGTAATAAATCTACTACATGTAAATTAACTGCATTTTACATTTTTAGCCCCCAAATAATTTACTGAAATAAAATAAAAATCCTGTGGTTAATCTGGCTAATTGATGGAGGAAATCCAGCTACAGTGTATTTTATACACAGCTTTCCAGGGGGAAAGATAGATCTTCTCTATATAGAAATATGCTATAAACATGAGGTCATTTTTCAAGTCTGAAAGATAGCTATAAAGTCGGTGGTCTAAACATTGATTTTGATATTTGATAATTGAATTTCTGAAGAGTAACAGGTTAACTTTATACGCACATAAATTTGTAATTGAGTAATATCATCATTAGTCTCCACATGTCAATAGTTTTCGTTATAAATTAAAATAATATTGATGACTTGTTTGTGATATTGTTTAAATGCACTCCAAATGAATGTGTATTGTTCATTGATTACATTAAGTACACGTATAACTGCAGATTTGCAAATCTGCAGCACACATACATTTTTTTTTATTGCCCGATGCTTGCAACCTTTAAATGTAAAATTTCACCAAGTTACAAAAAGACATACATGTATGTTATAAAGTCGAAATAATGTGCACACACCATATGGAAGATAAATAACAGTTAATACATGTATATAATTCTGTTGGTATGGACATGTGTACTTTTTAAAATCCCTTTATTACTTAGTATTCAATGCAATAATAAGAATAAATGCACGTGTGGTAAGTTTACACTGCCAATTTATTTGAATGCAATGAACATTTAGACGGTGTCATGTACTTTATTATCCACGAAATCTGTGAAACTGAGAAGAAAATTGGAATTATTTCTCTCCGAAAGAAATAAGTCATTAAAAAGCGACTGCAAAAAACCATTTTTATATGAGAATTCGATACACAGAGACCTCTGTTTAGCGAAATATGAGACAATAATAATCTTTTTACGACTGTAATAAACGCATTTGAAAATTTAAAACCGGAAAGTCCGTTTGATTCAAATCCTCCCTACCATAAAACTTAATATTCCCTGTAATAAGAGAGCGTTATTTTTTCAATTATTGTGAGCTATAAAGAGCAAGCCATTTGACTTCCGAATATTATGTTTCAATTTGTTTCAGACAAGAATGAGAAAATATTACCACAAGCATGGTCTATCATAATTTATATTGAATTGTAAATGCAGTGAAAAGTCATTCTTATTCAATGCTATCTTTTAATATCATTAATTTTTAAACCTAGCAGGCACGTAGCAACAGGAGGGCCCCCACTTTTTTTTCCAATCATTACTTTTACTATTGAAAATGTTCATTGAAAGGTTGGATCCCCCCCCCAGTTTTTACCACGGGCACGTAGTATTGTATACCAAAAATTGGTGTTGAAAGAAGTCGGCACCTGAAAAAAGATGGCCTCTACCCCCCCCCCCCCCCCCAATTTTTTTTTGCTTGTCAACTTTTTTCAGGTTAGTAAAAAAAAAAATTTCTCTGGTTGGTCTCCCCACTTTCAAAAACGATGCTACGTGCCTGCCTAGCTAATCATTAATCTTTATATTGAATTTTTATTTTATATTTTTCTTATTTTACGGACAAGATAGGCTAAGATCCCTGTTTGGTCCCTGGTTTTTAGTGTCTCTAAGAACGATATGTCAATTAAAAAAATAAGATTATTTTTTCCCCACGAAATGCTGATGTTTACTATTTAAGGAATAACTGTCTTATTTTTCGATTTCATGAAGTGATCAATCGATTGGCTTGCGTGATAATTTGCATAGGCGTTTATGCATAAAATTATCACGCAAGCCAATCGATTGATCATCTTCATGAAATTGAAAAATAAGACAGTTATTCCTTATATTTACATGCTTTGATTCTGCCAATCCACGTGCTCCAATCCCTGCTTCTGTCTAGCTGTTTGTCCCGCCCTGCACGTGTTTTTTTTTTTTTTTGGAACCGCGCCAATACATTGATGGGGAAATAAAGTACATTTACATTTGGCAATTTTATCTCGGACAAAGACATTGGAAATGCAAATATAATATCATCAATATTCAGGACTGCCTGATTTCGGCTGTGTACATTTAATTATATATATTTCATAAATTTGTAAAAGGAATATTTTAGCAGATTGTTTTGTTATAAACTTAGGACTGTTTATTTTGTTCTTGTGAAGTAGCTTTAAGGGATGCATGTGTTCATTTAATTCATATTTTTATCACTTAATATGTAAGACATTTTCTTTGATGAATGTATTGGATAAACAAAGGTGTACAGATATATAATTTATTGTTTCAGTTATCATCAGGTACATTTTGTATGTTTAAATTAAACAGCAATTTCACCTTATTGGATTCCAGTAAATTATTCTTAAAACTATTTTTGTTGTTGTCAGTGAATTGGGTAATGAGGACGAAACTATCGATAAAACTTTTTTAAAAAGATAAGTTTTAATCTTTGCTCCCTATGAAAGCATTAACCTGTCAATAGGTAGATACAGTATGTATAAAGTTAGCTACTATAGTAACTGGCCACTAGTAAAAGGCTACGACAAGTGGGTAAAGTTGGCTACTAGTAACTGACTACGATAAGTAAGTAAAGTTGGCTACTAGTCACTGACTACGATAAGTAAGTAAAGTTAGCTACTAGTAACTGGCTACAACATGTCAGTAAAACTAGCTACATGTACTCGTACTAGTAACTTGTTACTAAAAACGAACTTGAAACGTGAGTAAAGGTACGTAGCTTCTTGTAACTGACTTAAATACATACACTAATTTGAAGAAAATAAAGGTAATGTATTAAATGCATTGAAAAAAATAATGGATAGTATTTTTGTTTCGATATATTCAAAGTATCTTAAGGTAAGTCACTCCTGAAAATAGGGGGTCAGTGTGCATCCTACTGATCTACGGTACATTTAAGTTGACCTTTTTGCACTTAAATTTCATCTCTTTGGTTAATTACTTTAACCCTTATTATATTTGATTAGATGTAAGCATGGCAATAAATTTAATCTAATTTTACGTAAAATAGTTTGATTAATATATATTATTAAACAAATCTTGCAAATTAATGCGCGTAAATTATTGTGCGACCTTTTTGCACTAAAAAATAACATATTTGGGGTATTAAAAAACTTAATAGGCAATAAAAAATTTTCTTATATCAAACTTTTTACGTTGAGCTGATCAGTCACAAGTATCTAGTTTAAAATAATGAAAGAAAAAGGTGGGGTCAGTGATGTTAATATTGAAATATTTGTCAAAATATGTTATTTTCAAGCAAAAAATGGTGTAAATTTGACCTTGACTTCTTTAATATATTTTCATTTTTTGGAAAAGTTTGTTGAGGGAAGGTGTAAAACTAAGTCTAAAAATATAAATTAAGACCTATATTAAATATTTTTAGCAATATCAAAACGGAAAATATTCTCCGAGTAAAATTATGTGAGGTTAAATTTCCATTACTTTAAATTTTATAAATGTGCAGATTTGCAGAATTTTCTGCTAAATATCCTTCCACCAAAAGAAATAGTCCCTCATAAATCTTGCTTCTTTGTAGATTTTTGAGCAGTTTTTTCATTGAATGTTAAAAAATTTACATTGTTGAATTTAAATATGTTATAAAAATTGAATTTTTAAAAGTAGTTTTGAAGTAAAAGCTTCTGCGTGAACTTTTCTAAAAAGCTGACGAGTGACTTAAATATGCTATATGATCTGGCACTTCATGTTACATTTTTAAAATATAAAAGCAATTATCTACAATTAAATTACAAGAAAACGAACCAGAACACATATGATTTTTTTCACATACATGTAGATCTATTTCAAATCAATTCTATTTTTCAAATACCAAAGGAGAAACAATTTTGTCTGCACCATTTAAAAGTTATTTATATTTTTAAAATCAAAACCTTACCTGAAAACGAGCCAAAAACGACGTTTTTTCCAATACAATTCAATACAATAACGTCGAAAATGTTACTACAACTATGGCATCTTTGGAATTAAATAACAATAAAAATGGTGCAGAGGAATTTTATAATATTTTCAGAGAATGTAAAACAAAGGTAGAAGAATCATAAGATTGATTTTCATGGTATGTTTTTGGACACTTTTGAAAGCCCTGCAAACCCACGACCTACGTAAATTTAAAATTAATAAAGAATACTAGTAGCTGAGTATATAACTGAAGATATCTTGGTTACTTCGGTGCCAGATCAAGTGGAGAATTTAAGAGATTGTATCTATCAGCAATATTAGAAGATATCAATTATGTAAAAACCAATCAATTCAATGATGTTAATACTAGTATTTGTATGGTAAAATCTTCACATGCCTCACGAAATATACTAGTAATTGAACAGATGACAAAAGATAAACGTAAATAATTAGTTCTGTTTTATGTGGAGATCATGAACCTTGAACAAATTTCTTATTAGTTGTATCAGTAGATATCTGCTTTCTAATATCCAGCTACTTGAAGGATGTTAACTATTTTACTCCCAAATTAATCATATTTCACGAAAAGTACAAGTAGCTTAAGATATATCTACAGATGTCTTGGTAACTTTAATGCCAGATCATATAGTAGATATTTTGACTATCGAAACAAAAATATCGTATTCAATTTTTAAAAAATGCTTTCAATGCATTACTTTTATTATCTTTAAATTCGTGTATGTATTTTAGCCAGTTACTAGAAGCTACGTATCTTTACTCACATTTCAAGTCCGGTTTAGTAGCAAGTTACAAGTCGTTAGTTTTACTCATGTTCGTAGCTGGATACTAGTAGCTATAGCTTTACTCACATGTCGTAATCAGTTACAAGAATAGCTAGCTTTATTTACATTTAAAGTCGGTTACTGGTAGCCAGATACAGGCACGTAGCATCGATTTTAAAAGTGGGGGGGGCCAACCACAGAATTTTTTTTTTACTTACCTGAAAAAGTTGACAAGCAAAAAAAAAATCAAAAGCCTGAAAGGCTTCAATGGCGTCGAACAAAAAAAACAATTTCAAAAGATCTGCAGATAGGTCAAGTGAGTGACTCTGGTAACATTATAATAAAATTTAAAAAAAAATAGTCTTCACACAAATACAGTGTAGGACATTTTTATGTCCTGGTCCGAATTCTTCAAATAAACATAGAAATGTTCATGCGCTATATCAATCTAATTTCTCTTCTGTCAATCGAAGACCTATGAAGGGTTTCATAAATTATTGATCGACGTAATTACGATATGGCGCGGTAAACAAATGGAGGAAATGGATAAATACAGTAATACTTGCATCACTGGTCAATATCGTCGGTTGTTCAGATAAAATTGGATTGAAGATCGTAAAAGTAAAGCTAAGATTAAGAAATTTAATCTTTATTGTCTTTTTGTATTTGTGTTTAT